GCTGCCAAAAACCTTGGGGAGGGCAGAGTGGCTGGTTGGGCGGACTTCAGGACGTTTTTTTTACCCGCTTGCCAGTATCCCTAGCTCAACGTCAGCATTTTGCTCTTGCCTTGTAGTGCCACTGAGCACGCGTCTCGGCAGTGCCACCGAACTGCCGTCTCCCGCGTTGGGGCCCTCGATTTCCCTCGCAGTTTCACCAGCATTGCACAAACTATCATCTCTCCTTTCCTCGTTTACGTGCCCGAGACGTCATTCTTTATTTTTGCATTTTGTTTTCGGATGATGCTTGTGCTGATCCGATATCGAAGGTGGGCAAGGGGAGGCGACGACGCGGTGGAGGAGCTGGAGGAGGACGCCTGTCGCTTCGCTCTGTACTATCTATTTAGGCCCCGGCTCCCCAGTGACCCCCCCAGTGCCCCATACCTCCAGGTGTGCCGCCACAGAAGGATTTTCGGATCGGGGCCACGACGCTCCTCTGGAGTCGAGCTCCCACCGCTATCGGTAGGGGGCGCTAGGGGGCTCACTAGATTGTCGGGACCTCCCCCCCTCCCCTCTCATCGTCGTGTCTTTTCCTTCTTCTTGCCTTGTCCTCCCGTGTCGTCCCCGCTCCGCGTTCTCCCGCGCCCCCAGGGGAAGCCCCCCGTTTCGGTTGGAGGTGCCCACTTTCAACACCTGCCACGCCCACCGCGGCAGGACAGGGAAGGGCTGCATTCTTTGGATTCGTCCGCCCGGAGCAGCAGCAGGAAGAGAGGGGGATGAGAAGGGGGAGGGGAAGAGGGGGATGAGAGGGGGGAGGAGGAGGAGGAGGAGGAGGAGGAGGAGGAGGAGGAGGAGGAGGAGGAGGAGGAGGAGGAGGAGGAGGAGGAGAAGGAGGAGGAGGAGGAGGAGGAGGAGGACTGAGCGGGAGGAGAGAGGGAGGGAGGGAGGGAAGCAGGGAGGCGGGGAGGCGGACAGTCAGTAAGGCAGGAGGGATAGAGTGACCCAGCGCAGGGGAGGAGTCCAGCAGGAGCAAGCCTCAACTACGCCGACGAGGCAGTTGAGGCCTGATCCTGAGGGAGGGAGGGAGGAGCAGCAGCAGCAACAGGAGAAGGAGCAGGGAGAAGGGAGCAGGGTCACGGGGCAGGGAGGAGCGGGAAGCGAGGTGAGAGGAGGGGCCGTAGGCCGGGGGGGCGAGAGGAGGAGAAAAGGAGGAGGCAGGGACGGGGTAGGGAGGAGGAAGGACAGAGGTGGTCGGAGGGAGGATGGTTAGGAGGAGGGGAGGGAGGGAGGGAACGAGGACGCCAAGGAAGAGGAAGAGGATGAGGATGTGGATGAGGAGTCTTCTCAAATTAGTCACGCGCGTCGTCGGGTCTCGAGTGCGGCTGGCTACAACTGCCTAGCCCGAAGGCTAGAGCCGCCGGTGCTACTGCTGCTCCCTTCGCCAACCCCCGACTTTGCGCCTCAAAGTCCTGGCCCTCCTCATTCCATGGCCTGGGATGCCGACTGCACGCTGCCGTAGCGCTTCGCAACCCCTCTCACCAACTCTGGCTGGCGCTCGCTCTGCCGCTGCCTCTGCAGCAGCGCCTCCCGGTCCCTCTCCGACTTCACGCACTGGTACACCTCGGCAGCGCACGCCAGTCGGGTGGCGCGAGGGTGGAGGCATCATATGCAGGCGGGCTGCTTCTCACAAAAAACCGATCCAAAAATCTGAATAAAAAAAACAAACAGAAAGGCTTACAGGAAGCCCCCTTGCCGTCTCAGACGGCCGCCCCCCTCGCCGAGCCCCACTCTTGCGCGCCGCAGAGCACCAGGACGCCCATCATCCCCAAGCCGAACAGCTTGTTGCACATGCCGCCCGTGACCATCAGCGCCATGCGTGCAGAGCGCAGCCCACTGGCGATGCCGATGCCCGCCATCGAGACATGCATGCTGTCCGTGCCCGGCGCATGGTGGGCGCTCTGATCAGCTCCGAGAAAGCTGCTGGCCGCCGCGCTGGCCACGCCGTGCTCGTGACCCGGAGCCGCGGAGCCGAACAAGAAGTCCTCGCGGCGGGTCCCAGACTTGCGCACAGTCGGCCCCCAGAGACAGCCCCGGCCAGCCTCAGCAGTCCCCCCGTGCACCGCCGGGAGACACATCCACGAGCCCTGGGAGTCCTGCCTCGGGTCACTGGGCAGCGGTGGGTGTGGACGCCTGCCCGCCCTCGAGGAGCCCGCGGACCTCCGTACACTCACACACACACACACACACACGCACACACGCACACGCACACACACCGATCCCCGAGATCCCAGGGCATGGCTCCAGAGCGGCGGATGTGGGCAGCTTCTGGCGGCGGACCCGGTGTAGTCTGGGGTGGTCTCAGCAACCCAGCGATCCGTCTGGCGGCGCCACCCTCCAAGGGAATTTAGCTCGTCCCAGTCTGCACCCTGAGTGCCTGCTGAGATCACCCAGGGCTACCTCCAAGGGCTGTCCGTGCGCAACCCTAGGCCCTCGCTGATACTCGACGTCGGGAAGAATCTAGCAACCTCGCGAGAAAACACACAACCCGGGCCCCTGACCCCATCTTGCTCCAGCACTTCCCGAGCCTGATCGATCAATGAGAACCCCAGGGCAAGAGGCAGAGAGAAAAAACCCTCGCTCGTGGTTTCTTCGCGACGCCAAGATTCGAGGACACCTCCTCCCTCCAGATGGCTGTGCGCCACAACTCGGGCCACCCGAGCGGCCAGTCAGAACGACCCCAGGCTCCCTAGAAGGCCCTCGGCGAAGCGCAGCTAATGGAAAACCCCCTGGAGCCTGGAAACGTCCAGGAGCCCCCCAAAAAAGCCTCAGAAAACCTGCCGAACCGCGCTAGCTGAAAAACTCCCACGACCTTCCAGGACCCTCCAAACGCATCATGAGGATATAACAAATGATACCAGAGAAAAACACAAATCACAATACGCTTAGGGCTTTGGGGCTATAGGGCTATTGGGCTATAGGGCTATGGGCTATGGGGCTAAAGGGCTATAAGGCTCTGGGGCTTTGGGATTATAGGACTCTAGGCCTATAGGGAAAAACGGCTATGGAGCTATAGTGCTATGGAGCTGTAAGGCTTGAAGGCTGTAGGGCTATAGGGCTATAGGGCTATAGGGCTAGAGGGCTATAGGGCTATAGGGCTATCAGGGCTATAGGGCTATAGGGCTATTAGGGCCATAGGACTATAATAGGGCTGTAGGGCGATTGGGCGATAGGGCTACAGGGCTGTAAGGCTACAAGACTATGAGGCTATAGGGCTATAGGGCTATAGGGCTATAGGGCTACCGGGCACCCGGACACCTTGGCACCCGGGCACCCGGGCACCTGGGCACCTGGGCACCCGGGCACCCGGGCACCCGGGCACCCGGGCGTGCCGCCGAAATCGGCACCAAACCTCAGCTAACCATATGAATCCGCTGGTACCCCTACACAGGCAATCTCTGATTGGGGAATCAATCGGAGAGCCTGCAGGAGCCAGGAGCCCCCTGCAGCCCTGAAAGAGTCCGAAGCACTCAAAAGTCAAGATAATAGACACGACTGTAAACAAACTCTGAAAATATAATGGTAGATTCCCCAGTCAGAGCTTGCCTCTGTAGGTGTCTTCATATGGTTAGGTGAGCTTTCACGCCGATTTCCGCGGAGTGCCCAGGTGCCCGGGTGCCCGCCATGTGCTCGGGTGCCTTATAGCCCTATTGTCCTATAGCCCTATAGCCATATAACCTATAGCCCTATAGCCCTTTTGCCCTACTGCCCTATAACCCAATATCCTTATAGCCCGATAGCCCCATAACCCGATAGCCCTATAGCCCTATAGCCCAATAGCCCTTTAGCCCTATAGCCCTATAGCCTTCTAGCCTTATAGCCCTATAGCCCTACAGCCCTAGAGCCCTATAGCTCTGTAGCTCTATAGCCCTATAGCCCTGTAGCCCTAGAGCCCTACAGCCCTATAGCCTTATAGCCCAATTGCACAATAGCCCTATAGCGCTCTTGCCCTGTATCACTCTTGCCCTATAGCCCCATAGCCTTATAGCCTCATAGCCATGTTGCCCCATAGCCATTTTGCCCTATAGCCCTATAGCTCTATTTGCCTATAGCCCTACAGCCTTTTTGCGCCATAGCCCTGTATTCCTGTTGCCATTTCACCCTATAGTCCTTTTGCCCTATAGCCCCATAGTCCCATTGACTCATAGCCCTATGGCCCTATAGCCCTACAGCCCCATAGCCCCAGAGCCCCATAGCCCTGTAGCCCTACAACCCTATAGCCCTATGGCTCTATAGCCCTACAGCCCTACCTGTCGCCTTATGGCCCTATAGTCCTACAGCCCCATAGCCCTATAGCCCCATAGCCCCATCGCCCTATAGCCCAATAGCAACGTAGCCCTTTAGCCCTAAAAAGACTTTGATTGGGTCTTTTCTCCGGTAACCTATATATATGTCATAATAGTGCGAGAAAGGTGGCACATGTCAAAACTATACGTCCATAAAGTGATATACACACAAACACAAACAACAAAAAGCAATCAAACAAACAAACAAATGATTGAATCAATCAATCAGTCGCTCAATGATTGAATCAACCAGACAAACACACCAACAAAAACGTCGAGTCCTCGTGGGAGCTCGCCGGCGGCGTTCCGGCGTGCGGCCCAAGGCCGCCTAGTGGCATGCCGCAGGCGCGCCACGGCGCCATGGCGCCCGCGGAGGTCCTGCAGCAGCCGCCCCGCGTCGGAGCGGCACCCTGAGCGCGACACGCCCTCGACCTTGAGCTGAGATGGCTGCGTGAGAGGAGGGCTTGAAGAGGATGAGAACTGTCAAAATCTCCACCCTCCACCCTCCTCCCTCCCCCCTTCTGCCCTCCTCCCTCCTACCTGCTCCCCCCCCCCTCCCTCCTCAAGCACACGCAGCCCAAGGAGCGTTGATCCTGTTGGCTCAAACTCGTCACGGTGTGGAGCATCATGCCCCCACGTGGCGCTTAATGGACGCCCAGGCCGCCACCATGTTTACAACTGTGTGCTTTTTTCCAGCGAGGTCGATGGGGCGAACCTTGGTCACGGGGTCGAACCGTTCGAACTCAAAGATTTGCGCTGTAAGCCCGCAAATCGAACCTTGCAGGATCTTGCACAAAAGCAAAACAGGCTGGAGAATCCCAGCGCTGTGCATAAGTATCGGTGTTGCCGTGACTCCACGATTGGTTACTTTGGTCAGGTCGTTCATGCTTCGGTTCGTCGTCCTGTACATCATCGGCTCGGTCCATCCCAAAGGCGGCGGCAGGGGAGGCACCGGCTGGTTTTCCTATGCAAACCCCTCCCCGCGCGTCCCTGAGTGTAATTCAAGGTGGTAGGCAGCGGAGGAGGCGTAATAAGGGCGGACCATATCTGGCGGCGCCGTTGAACAAGTGTTCGTTTGCAGCAGTCAGGCTTTCCAAGTTTCTGGTACGATAGCGTTGTGGCTAGCGGCATGCCCCCGTGGTCGTATCCTTCGGTGCACGTGCGGCGTGAGCTTCTTCATCAATGGTCGAATTACGAATATGTTGTTGCCATTCGTATTCTAGTTTCGCTAGTACTATGTACACACAGACGGACATACATACCCTGGGTCTCACCAGTTGTGCGCAGTATCCGCAGCGCGTGTGGCTACCCAGTCGTCATCTGGGGAGGGTCATTCTTACACGGGCTCTGCATGAGTTGCGTGAATACATGATTGGTGTTGCCGTGTCTTGGTGGAGGGACTCACCGTGGCCACAGCTCTTGGATGAGCACCCGCATGCTCAGCATAGCCATCTCCGGCTTCTTCCTTCCCCGTAAGTTCTTGTAGAAGCTCAGATGGTGCCATCTTGTGCTGAGACTCAACATTCCAAAACACTCCGATTCCTCGTTCCTCCCTCATCCCCGTCCTCCTCCTCCCTAGAGTCGGGCCGGGCAAAAGGGGGGGATAGCAAAGGGGGGGGGGGGAGAATCAGCTCACGTAGCTGACTTTCCCAGCGCCTCCCGGCGGCGCGAGGCGCCCATGTATCGAGGAATGGGCCCCTCGGCGGGGCCGAAACCAGCTGCATGCAGCAGATTTCGTACCCCCCCTTTCCCATTCCCCCCCCCTCGTCCGGCCCGATAGAGTCACACGGATCGAGGCTGGGTAGCTTTCGAAATGGGGCCCTCGCCCTGGCGCCGGCCACGCTCGCCCGAGAAACTCCAGCGGTCACACGGATCGAGGGGAGGCTTCCGAAAGGGGTCTCTCGAACTGGCGACACGCACACCCGGCTAAAGAACTCCAACGGCCCCTTTTCGAAACGAGGCTCTCGCCAGAAGCCCCCTAGTAGAAGTCCAGTCGGCGTCACGCCTCCAACGGCAACGAGTAAACGGATGACGGGCCGCGCCCCTTCAACGGGGTTCTCATGCGAGACCGCCAGACGCAAGAACTGTGCAGCAGTTACGCGGATGGAGGGCAGAGCATTTCCGAAACGAGGCTCCCGCTTGAGACTTCACACAGTTCCCCATGGCACTCAACACTGGACAACAGCTGCCTTGATGGAGGGCGATTCGTTCTCAAGATGTGGCCTTCGCTTGACAAGACATCTGGCTTGAAAGCAATGGATCGACACTGTGCAACTACGAACACGAGTGGACGCTGGCTGCTTCCCACAGACGGAGCCGTCGCCGGACACGTCCTCGTACTCTTTTATGGCCCGGCCCCGTCGCACTCCATGCAGCTCGGAGAACGCAGGCAGCTCCTTGTCCAAACGGGGTTCCCTCCCGAAGTGCGGTCCCTTAGAGCCACCGCCCTTCAAGGGGGCGCTTCGCGCAGCGAACAAGAACACAGGTACAACCTTATCAGGAGCAGACGTGACAGGGACGACGAACAGCAAAGTTACTGATATTAGGTTTCTTTGGGTATTCCTTTCTACTTCGCATCCTCCTACCTTTCCCTCCTCTTCCTCTTCGTCCTTCTCTTCCTCCTCTTAATTATCCTCCTCCTCCTTCTCCTCCTCCCTTTCCTCCACCTCCTCATCATTTCCTTTCCCCTCCTTTCCCCTCCTTTTCCCTCCTTTTCCCTCCTTCCCTCCTTTTCCCTTCTCCGCCTCCATCTCTTCCTCAACCTCTTCCCCCTTCTGGTTTTTCTTCCTCATCCTTCTCCTCATCCACCTCCTCCTCCTCCATGCAATTTCCTGGCTCCTGCTCCATTCCTTTCTCCTCCCTGTCGCCCCCGAGGCCAGTGGGCGTGCCGGGCGTTTCGCCTGAGACTTCCTCACGACTTATGATCCCGAAGCTTAATAATTGGCAACAGTTTGATAAACGGAGGGCTGGTCGCTTCCAAAATGCGGCTCTCGCCTTAGCGCCACACACACACACAAACTCGTCGTAACAACTTGCAAGAGCTTCACGGATCGAGGGCTGACAGTTTTCAAAATGTGGTTATCACCTTAGCGCCGCTCACATTCGTCTTGCAAAATTACAAGAGCTTCACGACTGGAGGGCGGGTGGTTTTCAAAATGTGGCTCTCGCATTTTCGCCGCGCACAACCGTCTTAAAATGTCGAAAAAATACGAGTTGAAAGCGGTACGTTTTCAACATAGGGCTGGCAGCTTCACGCCGCGCGCATTTGTCTTAACAAATTACCAGAGTTTCACGACTTGGAAGGCGGGTCTTCTTCAAAATGTGGCTCCCGCCTCAGCGCCGCGCACATCCGTTGACAAAAATGCAAGAGCTTGACGGATTGAAAGCGGGTCCTTTTCAAAATGTGATTATCGCCTTAGCGCCGCGCATATTCGTCTTAAGAAATCACAAGAGTTTCCCAAACCCGTATGGTTAACGTACCCGAAATGGTATTCCGAAACGATTCAGGATTGTCAGGGCGCAACAATTACATGTATTCGCGGTGTTGAGATCCTACGAATGGCGTTCTGGCACGATTCGGGATCGACAAAACGCAACAAACAAGTTGATTCGTGGCGCTGCAGTTTCGAAAATGGAGTTTTGGTACGATTCTGATCTTCCGACGGTTGTCTCCTAACGGGGCACTTCCATGAGAGGAAATGCCCGATGAAGAGGGAGCTTGGAGGTTGAAGGAAGGATGTACTCCAACATCGTTGACGAATCTTGGGTCTACACTGGTCCTCCTCCTCCTCCTCCTCCTCCTTCTCCTCCACCTCCTGCTCCATCTGCTCCCGCCTACGCCGACGACGCCAGCGACAACGACGGACGACCGTGATGACCATGAAACCGACGGCGCCGACTCCGCCGACTCCAGCGACGACGATCCTTAATTGCCCCTCTTCATGTTCTCCGATTTCCGCGTGTGCTTCAATTTCTTCTTGCGCTCTTTCCACCACGCCGGCGTCTTGTGGCTCATGGGGAGGGCGAATCTACACGGGTATCTGCATGTGCCTTCATCCTCCTCCATCTTCCCCTTTTTGTTCCACACTTGCAATTGGAACTGTTGTCACTGCTGCCGTACATGATTTTCGCCTTCATCGTTGTAATGATTGTTTATGTACCCTTCTCGTGCTATGCTTGTTTCACCACAGTGTGGCGGGGGTAACTCTGACCTGGCCGGCTACTTCGAGCACCTTTACGGCAAACTCGACTTCGGGCATGTGCCGTTCCTGTCCTGTCCTGTCATTGCCCCTCCCCGCCGAGCCTCAGGGGAGACCCCCCCGCAGCATGGCCCCGGGCCCGGCGGGTGCCCGCGGCGCCCTGCGACAGGCATGGGTCGGCATCGTCGTCGTCGTCGTCGTCGTCGTCGTCATCGTCGTCGCCGCCGTCGTCGCCGTCGCTGTCGTCATCGTCGCCGCAGGGGGTCGAAGCCGAGGCTGGCACGCGTAAGCGGGGGAAGACAGGGAGAAGGGCACGAGGGAAGGAGGAGGGGGAGGAGGGGGAGGAGGAGGAGGAGGAGGAGGAGGAGGAGGAGGAGGAGGAGGAGGAGGAGGAGGAGGAGGAGGAGGAGGAGGAGAAGGAGGAGGAGGAGGAGGAGGAGGAGGAGGGGGAGGAGGAGGAGGAGGAGGAGGAGGAGGAGGAGGAGGAGGAGGAGAAGGAAGAGGAGGAGGAGGAGGAGGAGGAGGAGGAGGAGGAGCGGGAGGAGGACGGAGGAGGAGGCGGAAATGCAGGAGGAAGAGGGAGGCGGAGGCAAGGGAAGGAGGGAACGAGGACAGGAGGAGCGATGGGGGGAGGGAGGAGGACAGGCGGGAAGGTTGGAAGGGGAGGGAAGAGGAGGCGGAGGAGGAGGGGGAGAACAAGATGGGGAGAAAAGAGGAGATAAGGGGAAAGTGATATGGAGGTTATCACCGTCGTCGGCAGCGACGTCGGCATCTGGAAGAACCACAATTCGTCCTGGCCTGGGACAGTCGGCGCCAGGACGGCCCCGTCAAGGCAGCCAGGCTTTCGGCGGGCTTCACAGACCCTGCACCTGGCGTGTCTGACAAGCATGTCGATTCAGTCGGCCCGCCGTGCAGTAAGTCGCGCCGTGAACCTTCAGAGTTAAGCGGGTTCACGAAAGTCTGTAAGTCGCACGGCCGATCTTTGAGCCACTTTACCCGTTACGGGCCACACGGGATCTCGAAAATGTGCCCTCGAAGAACACACTCAGATTCCCCTCAAGGGCGCACCACGGTTTACCAAACGGGGATAAGGAGAGGAGGGGCAGTTTTTACACGGCGCCAAGTGCGTTCAGCCGCTCCGCGGCTCGCCTCCACCTGGCGACAAGGCTGAACACGTAAGTGGCCGAACCTCCCGTTGGTACGCTCCGTAATCACTCTGTACGGTGGGCGAGGCGCTGGGAGGTAGACCCCAGCACCACCCTGCACCAATTGCGGAAGAGAGGAGACTAAAGCGAGAGGCTCGCACGTGCACAAATCAGCCTTCAGCCGGCGTTCGCACGGGACCCCACACGAGCAGAGAAGAAGGACGGGACAATCCAGCGAAGGGCATAGGTAGGGCAACTCAAGATGTTAGTGATGCTAATGCTGACGGCAGCCGTGATGCTCTCCCTATAAATGCTGCTGCTGCTACTCCGACTACTTCTTCGGCCACTGCTATTGTTGATGGTGCTGCTGCGGATGCCGTTCAAATGCTGCTGCCTTCTGGTGTCGCTTCTGTTGCTGATGGTGCCTGCTGATACCGCTGCTGTTGCTGCTACCAGCGCTGCTGATGCTTCAGGTGCATCTGCCCCGGGTCGACACCCATGCCATAATTCTGCATGCTGCTACTACTGTGGACACAGCTGTTTTACGATGACTGATGCTACAGCTGGTGGAGATGCTGCTGCTATTTCTGCGGCGTCTGCTGCTAACGCTGCTGCCAGCACGGCGGCTGGCACTGATGCCGGCACTAATCATTCATATTGCTGCCGCAAGCTCACTGCAGCAGCGAGGTCAAGCACTGATACTTTCAGCAGCAACTCGCTTGAAAAAACGTGATTTCAAAGGAGGTTATGAATTCGAATCCCCAAGAAGAGCAACAGATACAACAATCTTGAAGCCAGAGAAATTTGTCTGGGTTGCAGCAGTGCTAACTGGCATCCAACTGTTCATAGCCACGTTTTTCAAGGATGCGCGTTTCAAGGTGGTTGCTTTCCACTGTTTGATCCCCAAGTCCCATAACGCCACGATTGAAAAGCAACTCTTGAATGCAAGGCTAGTAAAATGGAAACCACCCCCTTGAAAGAAGAGGGCGCCTCTACTGCGCATGGATTGAAGCGAACGCCCGCCGCGAGCCGGCCTCGGAATGGAGGTATCGCTGGAACGACGGCCGCAACCCTGCCTCGAAACGGTGCTGTCACGAAGCCACCGGCCACAACCCTGCTTCGGAACGGTGCTCTCGTCTCTGCGCCACCCGCCCTGGTGCCTCAGCACGGTGGCCACATTGGCTGTATCAGCGGCGCTCGCACCAGTTACGGTATGAGCAGCAGTGCGTACCGATAGCAAGAAGAGCGTTAGCATCACACCACTATCAGCGGCGTTGGAAGCGACATCAAAAGCAACAGCAGTAGCGGCAAGAAATGCGGCAGCATCACCAGCATTAAGAGTAAGCACAGCGCAAAACAGCGCCTGCGGCAGCAGCAGCCACAAAAATACTACAGAATCGCTACCATCAGCAACAATCCATACGTGCCAGCACTAAGCGACAGCGTAGACAGCATCAGCAACATCACAAACATTTGTTATTGTTCAGCACATTCACAACCATAATGACACCGAAGAAAAACCCAATCAGACTTGTTTAGATCTCAAATGAGATCCCTTTGTAAATGCTCCAGAGGTTTATGAAGTCTGCGAGGGCTATAAAGGCTATGAGGGCTAGGGCTATAGGGCTATAGGGCTATAGAGCTATGTGGCTATAGGGCTATAGGACTATAGGGCTATAGGGCTAGAGGGCTATAGGGTTATAGGGCTGTAGGGCTATAGGGCTGTAGGGCTGTAGGGCTATAGAGCTATCGGGCTATAGCGCTATAGGGCTATATGGGATATTGGGCGATTGGTCTGTTGGGATACAGGGCTATATGAATATGGAGATATAGGGCTATAGGGCTATAGGGTTATAGGGCTATAGGGCTATAGGGCTATAGGGCTACAGGGCTATAGGGCTATAGAGCTATAGGGCTATAAGGCTATAGGGCTATAGGGCTATAGGGCTGTAGGGCTGTAGGGCTATAGGGCTATAGGGCTATATGGCTATAGTGCTACAAGGCTATAGCGCTATAGGGCTTGCGGGCTATAAGGCGATGGAGCACCGGGGCACCCGGGCACCCGGGCACCCCTGGGCACCTCCGGGCACCCCTGGGCACCTCCGGGCACCCCCGGGCACCTGGGCACCTCCGGGCACCCGGGCACCCCGGGGCACCTGGGCACCTGGGCACCCGGGCATCCAGGCACCCGGGCCGGCCACCGAAATCGGCGACGCACCTCACCTGACCACATGAATCCGCTAGGACCCCCACAGAGGCAAGCTCTGATTGGGGAATCAGCAGCACCGCAAACAATGGCAAGAGACAGCATCATAATATGATACCGGAGAAAAACCCAATCAGAATTTGTTTGGGTCTATAGGGCTATAGGGCTATTGGGCTCTTGGGCTATAGGGCTATAAGGCTACTATAGGGCTATAGGGCTAAAGGGCTATAGGGCGATAGCGATATAGGGTTTTAAGGCTATAGGGCTACAGGGCACCGGGCACCCAGGCACCCGGCACTCGGTTCCTGCCCTGGAAAACAAAGGCTCGTGGCTATCATTGAGCCGTTCTGGTGTGGAACTGTCAACGATTTTCAATTGTCTGGTCGTGTCTATTTCCATGTCCCGCGCATCATCCACCCGGGAACCGGGCACCCGGCACCCACCCGGGCACCGGGCACCCGTCACCCGGGCACCCGGGCACCTGGTCATCCCGGCACCCGGGCCCGGCCACCGAATCGGCGGCGAACCCGGGCACCCGGGCACCCGGGCACCCGGGCCCGGCCACCGAATCGGCGGCACACCTCACCTACCCTCAAATCCGCTAGGACTCCTACAGAGGCAAGCTCTGATTGGGGAACTTACAAGCAAAGAGTTGACAACGACACATTCAAAATCAACACTGACAACGCTTAGAATGATAGCAGTATCCACCATTCCATCACCACCATCCGTAAGAAGGCATCAGCAGGAGAAGCAGCGCAGCAGCATTGGCAACAGCATCGCAACTAAATCAGCAGCAAGGTCAGCACTTGCGAAATTCGAACACCGCTAATAGCCAGAAACACGTGCAAGGACATGACGGCCGCAGCAACAATGCCAGCAGCATCAGCGACAACAGCAGCAGCCCCAGCGCCATGTCCGTGCGCTGAACAAAAGCATCCTGGCCAAATTGCGGATGGAGTTGCTCATCGGCGTGACTGGTATGATGCAAGCGCACTCCTGCAAGCGAAAAGCCAGAGGAACGTAGAAAGCCGGAAAACGCTGGAGCGAAGCACCAGCTCGAGAAGGAGCAGGTGCCGGAAAGCACCGTGGCTAGCAACATCTCCATGCCCAATGTAAGCACGGCCACTGCTACGGCGTCCCTCAGCAGCTTCCGCCTGCTCCTCGGCGGCAGCCTCGGCCACTGCTGCCGTCTCCTCCACAGAGCCCACATGATCCATGGCCCCAGTACCCCTCTCCTCCAGACGATGGCTGCGACGGCAGCAGCTTCTGCGGCCACCGCGAAACAGGGCCTTCGTCGTCGCCGATCTTGGCATGGGGGAATGGGTCCTGAGGGAAGCGGGTCCTGGACCCTGGGGCCTTCCCCCAGGACCAGCTCTTCATCCTGAGTCGTTTCCTGACGGTCCCGGGGCCCGTGGAGGGCCCCGGGAAGCCAAAAACGGCGGAAAACCTCAGGACCCGTTTCCCTCAAGACCCGCTTCCCCCACGGCGAACAGTACTCGTCGCCGCCTCCACCTTCGAAGCCGCCTCCGCCATCCTCGCGGTCGTCGCCCCGTCGCCGTCGCCGTCGCCGCCGCCGGCCAGCACAGGCGCCAACGGGGGCCTCGAACGCTCCGACCGGCAGCGCGGGCCGACCGCCGCCGCGCGCGCGAGCGCGGGCGGGGCGCGCCGATCGCGGCCGGCGCTGTCGGCGAGTCGGGCGGGCGAGCGGCGGGGCGCGCGGCGGCAGGGCGGCTGATGTCGTCGTGGTGGTGGTAGTCGTCGCGGTCGTGAAGAGGAGGAGGGGAGGAGGGGAGGAGGGGAGGAGGG